GCTCGCGTGTATAGTCGAGAAGAAGCTAGTGGCATTCCACTTTGTAACTATGCCTGCAACTCTTATTCCATTGACTGTAAGTCTATGGTCATATGAAATCAAGTGTTTATGTTGTGTGTGTGGCAGTATGACGGACGCTCCAGCATACTTTTGAGTGCTTCACTTCGATGTGTTCGTCGCGATTGATGAGTTTATGAGAGTGTGTACATCAGTGAAACTAGGGAACCAAAAAAAGCTTTAAAGCTACGGACGTCTTTTATGGATGATTCACACGGACTGAAGTTTTTTTCCTCCATAATCTACTGTCAAATAACAGCCCTAAACACTAAGCTGTCGCAGAATTGCCTTACAACTTACTCTGAAGAGACATGTTTTACTGTAGAGTAGAAACGCAGACATTTGTTCTGTGTCTTACCTTAACTCTTTTTCGTTCTTTTCACAGATAAAGATATCTGTTGTTTTCTTTCGTTTGCATCTATGTGAAAAAGAGCATCATCAGGTTGAATCGAATATAATAGTCTTTTACTCACTATTAAAAGCAACATGCTTGACAACACTATTGAAAACATTTTGAAAACTCTCAAACTTGGCGTGCTCTCTATGTCGTTTTGTTCAATATCGCGACTTTTTAAATCTACATAGGAAAAATCAATCAATCGGATTAATACAAGTGAAGGGTGTTTATATGACATTGATAAATCAGCATCTACTAAAACTAATTCGTATTTTCTTAACAATTAGGTAGTGGCGAAATTTACACCGAAGACGCACGAGAAAAAGCAAGAAATTGCAACGGTCATTAGTCAAATGAAGAAAAGTGCAAACGAAAGAACACGAAGTAAAACTGGAAGCCGAGCGCAGGCAGAGTTACAAAGTGGAATGCCACTAGCTTCTTCTCGACTATACACGCGAGCATGTGGCTTGCAGCACATCATAATCTCATTGGATATTACTCGATATGATTTTCGCTCGAGTCCTTTAGAACTATACGTTAAACATTGGTTTATTAATGTCGATAATTTCATCAATTATATTATCACTAATGAGGATAATTCCATCATTTTGATCACATCTAATCTGTTTGCCGATATTGTAACGTATGTTCTTCGTCCGCTACTACCACAAATTTGTGCTGTTTACATTTTGGGACCACATTTACGACAGAACTCCTATGATAAATATGAAAATCAATATTTTCTTGATGTTGATTCTCTACTATATATTCTTGTACAGAAGGCAACACAAAATTTCATCACTCACCAGTGCCATTCCAGCGAACAATCAATAAGTGATCTGACAACGAACAGTGCCAAATATATCTGGTATCAGTTATTTTTCGATGTTTTATCACATTTGAATCATACGCACATTGCTCGAAGTGAAATGCTCCAAAGCGTTCGACTCTTTCATTCTCCTGAGGTTGAGCACCATGTGACAAGTAACTGCGAAGACTTCGAACGAAACTACAAGCCACAAGATATCGTCAGATGGTACACACGCACCTCGTTTTTCTACATTTCTCTTAATCGATGCCTACGTTCTGAGAATATCAATAAGATATTCGCTTATCGCTACGTTATTTCTGACATGGAACGAGCTTTGAGGGAACTTCTAAGGAAACAGCCACCCATTGAATATTCCGTTTTGTATCGAGGTCAGCAAATGTATCTCAATGAAGTTACATCAATTGCCGATAGAGTTGGAGATCTCATTTGGATGACTGCATTCTGGCCAGCAACTCCTAACATCTATATAGCCGAACACGTTGCTCGATGCATACTTCGACATGCGGTACCAATGGAACGAATTTTGTTTACCATAAATATACCAACTCATCTTCGTCATTCTGCTTGTGTCGATATTTCCGATCTCAGCAGTTATTACCGCGAACAGAAAATGATATTTCCGCTGCGTTCTCTATTTCGCATTGAACACGTCGACAAATTAAACTACTTCTGGCAGATTGAATTAACATTGGTGAACGAAAATGATGATCAGTTCATTCGAATCATGCATCCCTGGGAAATGTCTATCGGCCTAAGAAGTTTCTTTACAATTTCTGTTGGGGTAAAACAACAAGTTTTCCATGATCTTTCACAGGATAACGTTGCTTTTATTCGGTTTCAATTATTCATGGACATGATCCTTAGACTTGATCGTAACAACTTTGCCAGAGATGAAATGTTGGAAGTGTGCAGAGCAAAGTTTGCTTTGAATCCAGCTGAATTAGAAAAAATTGATACTTTTGAGCAAACGTATATTAGCAAAGATGCCGCTAGGTGGTACACAAAAGACTGCTTTCTCTACCGTTTACTGAACGAATCATTACAGATCGGTAGTATTGATCTTATGGTGAAACTCCGCTATTTCATTCACGATCTTCACAATCAATTAGCGGAACTGCAATTAGATTTTTTCCGTTCATTACCTGTACATAATCCCATATTGACACTTTATCGAGGTTTAACGATGACCCTGCCTGAATTAAATAAATTTCAACAAAATGAGACCCACTTGGTCTCGACCAATTCGTTTTTGTCGACGACGCGAGATTTTGCTGCTGCATTGTTCTTTTCCGGTGAGGGCAAAGTCGAAGATCCTCAAGTATCTGTTGTTTACGAAATATTCGTCGATACCAGCATCAGTCATTCGGTTCCTTTCGCCTCTGTCGAATATCAAAGCATATTCAAGGACGAAGACGAAGTACTGTTCTCTATGGCGGCTATGTTTCGCATTGGACGAACTAAAGAAATAGGTGAACGTCTATGGAAGATTAAATTAACACTTACTCCACCAAACGAAGAACAATGGAACATTTTAACCCAGCACCTTAAAAAGTAGTTCGACAAACGAGTGATTTTTCGTCTTTTCGAAAAGGAGGATTGGAATTCTCGATATCCAGTCGTTTAGTTCAGATTTGACTATGACAGAGACCTGTTTTCGCAGAATTCAATCGAAAATTTTAGCTCTCCCGTCAATATTAATGCAAGATATTGATAATGGATCACTCGCCACCTCAAAAATGACAGAACGAGGATACATAAGGACTCAAATCAGCCCACTGGGACTTTTGTTTACAATCAAGCCAAATTAACGGGTGCGCCATAAAGAAAGACGGTCTTAGTATTTCGTGAATATCTCATGCAGTTTTTATCGTTCAGACTCCGCCGTTTTAGAAAAAGATTCGCCATGCAATTTTCTACAAAAACAAATGAAAAGAGTTTTCACAAACTGTAACCATGAAACTCTATCTAGTGAATACTGTTATGCTCTGAAAAGGCCAGTTTTCAAACGCACGTTTCCGCAATATTAATTTCTTTCTTCCTCTGACTAATTAAACAAAGAATCACTGTGGTGCACATTTCTCGCTATTCCCAACGCATCCCACTGTTATAGAAGTCGAACATGACGAGCCTGTATTGTTCCCCCGAAATGAAGCGGGAATGCTACTAGGTTTGGCACCACCAACAAGATCGCCCTTATTATTATTACTATTAACTATTATTATAGATTATTATCCCCATCTCTTTATTTATTAATTATGTCGCCTTCTCTTCGGTATCGGAGAGCTACAAAAGTTTTCCGTACGACTATGTAATTGATTTTTTGACCCGTCGAGAAAGTTTAAAGCTATGAAAACTACACCAGCGGAAAGCGGAGAAGATAGCGAACATTGTGGTAAAAATAGCTTTTTGAAAAACAGCTTTCTTGGGGCTGGTAAACCGAATTAAGGTAACGTTGACATGGTCAACATGTAAACTCTCTATCTCGGTAATTAATGGATGGAATTATTTTAGACATATCAATGGAAAGAGCGTCCGAAACT